CCCCCCCACCTTTCACTCTTCCCCCCTCTCTTATGGGTGCCACAATAGGGCGGTGCATTAGCTGGGTTGCTTCTTTAGCCCAGAGGCTAACCCACTTTCCCGATTAAGTGAACCTGGAAGAAGCAAAACTTGACTCCTTTCTTTTGACCAGTGTTTGATGCATGTGGATGCGAGCTGAATGCTTTCTCAATTTATAAAAATATTAACGGGTAAGATTGATTCATTTATCTAGTTTGATTTAATGGTATAAAATTCATTCTAAAGTACAATATTATATATTAATATTATAGTTTTTAAAGAATTAGAATATCGAAGAAAGAGTGAAATACAAGCTCCGAAAAGGAAAGACAAAGAAGAATAGAATATAGGGAAATAACAAACATATTAATCCTTATCCTTTTCTCATCCTTACTAACTGAGAAATAGAAATTGACCTCAAACATTTTCTTAGGGAAATAGCAATTGACTTCTAACCTTTTAGCCGGTTTGATTTAATTAAATATTTGTACAATGGGTTGTATTTTCTCATTTGGTAGGAGGGATGAGAAAGATGATTGATTGAAAAAACTGTCTATTCCTACCAGAAATGTTTAAGCCATCTTTTTGGTTTGAGAAGAAGTGCAAAAAAACTAGGTGAACAACTTTATAGCTAATGGGACGTGTCTCTCTCTTCCTCGCTTTCTTTCTCTCAATAATATATTATGTGCAAATATATATGTGTAAAAAAAATACATGTGATATCTCTAATACTCATAGCTAGTGATCGAATATTTTGAAAAATAGAGGAAAAGTAAATGGGGTAGATCCGTTATAAATGTGACAATTATGTTGTGTTGTGTCATTTATAGGTTCGTGCAAAGTATTAGTCAATTCAAACTCAACTCATTTAATTAATTGTGTCTATCCGACTATTTATTTTCATATTTACTTATATAATCTGTGAATAAAAAATTTGACACTAAAATTTAAGTCTAATTTGACCTCCAAATCAAATTTACACTCGTACTTTTGTTATAAACTAAAAGTTACTCAATAAATATAATAATAAAAATAAATAAAAAAAATTCTCTTTTTATATAAATATTATGCCGATGTGTGAGAAAAAATAATAAAAATTTGCATTTTATTTTTTATCATATTAGTCAAACATGTTAACCATATCAATTTCGTGTAATTCGTGTTTGATACTAACCCGATCCATTTATTATTCGTGTTAACAGGTTATGTGATTTTAGAGTTTATGTTGAAAATTGATCAATCTTAGTCCACTAATTCCAAGTCATGCTTATGTATCGTGTCAAAAGTTATCAACCCTAATCCATAATACACTATTCTTGGGTCCTTTTTTGTTTGGACTTTTGAAAGGCTAGTACACGAAATTGAACTTAATTATCAAAAAGTACATTGGAAAAAATATTTTGTAAAAAAGTTTGTGCGTGCTAGATCTTGCACAATATTAAAACGAGAACAGATCTCTCCCTTGGTGAACTCGAATGAGTTAGTTGAGTGGTCAACCACGCTGCTTGGAACAGCCTGTGAGATCCGGTGGTAACCTGGAACGGTAATGGGAGATCCTCGCGGATCAAAGGAACGATCCAGTAAGGCTGAAGAAAGGTTCCTGGAACAAAGAAGAACAAGTTAGAAGGGCGCCGGAGTATTTTTCGGCGTATCCCCTCCGACGATCAAGTCAGTTTTTGAGAGAGAGGAAGAAGAAAACACTGAGTATAATTTGTAGCAAAGGTTTCACCTGCCTTTTCTTGCCTTTAGTGATGAGTATTTATACCTCAAATACTCATGATTGCTGTCAGTGTGGTCAGTAGATGATCATTAGATACAAGCAACGTGCGCACTGATTCCTATGAGGAATGTCTTCTCTTTTAACTGCTCGGGACCCCGAGCAATCAAGACTGTGTCATCGGTCTGCCGTCGGTTCAATGAGCTCCTCTCGGGGAGGCTGCAATAAATGCCCAACCTAAGACACATTTATTGTCTTTTACTTCCGAGCCTTACCGCATTAATTGCAGTCTCATCAAGGGAATGGTGTAATTAAATGCTTGTTTTCCCAAGTCGTGTGTCAGCAAGGTCATGCGGTCTTTTTGTCTCTGATGTGACACAATATGCCACGCGTCCATTCCTTATTGGCTGTGGCCCCTGCCTTCCTGTGCCTTCTGACACCAATTGTGTAAAACGAGGTCATGATAGTTAATCTAGCCTAGCCTAGGCTAGTGACCAGTGCATCAATAGCCTCTGCTGCTGCAGAGAACTTCATCCTGGATGAGGGGGTACATATCGGTACCGAGGAATAGGTACATCTTGAATCCGAGAGGGGGAGACCTAGCGACCGATGTACCATATCAGACCGAGGGTACGTGTCAGTACATAAAAACGTACTGGATGCTACTCGATCCCCATGATCAGTATCTCGGGGGAGAGGGGACTTGTGACCCGATGGGTACGTGATCTCGATAACAAGGATTAATGACACCGAGGACACGTGTCTTTATCTCGGAGTATTTCAGAAATATCCCATCAACTGCCCCCCAGCCTTCGATCTTCTGACACCGAGGACACGCGTCGTAAGGAGACGAAGGGTTTTACAACAACCCCAACTGCTTCATCATTGCTTCTAGCCACTTTCCCCTGCTTAGGACGTCGTGTGCATTAAATACGCATTTTCGTGCTTTGCGCCCAATGATGGGATAGGTGCTATATATAAATGGGCTTCCTCTCTTCTTTTCTCATTTCATCGTTCTGAACTTTTCTTCACAGAGCCCTTGCCGGAGACTTCGCCGGAGATCCCTTTCCTTCCGTTGTCAACTGTCCAACCATTTCACCGGAGTTTTAAGGCCAGTAGACCCATCCTTGCTTCTGAAACATTCTGGAAGGAGTCGCTTCAAATTTCCCAGAAAACACTTCTTTTTACATTCTGGTGAGTCCCAGTATCTTTCCTTTCTTCGTCCTTCTGTCCCTTTTGGTTTTTCGATAACTGGAGGTGCCTCTGGTTGCCACTTAGCGACCAATCCTCGGGAAGCTTCCTTGGCGACCTTTAAGGAAAAAACATCCTCCACTTTTTCTCATTTTCTTCGAGATGTCTCGTCGTCGCCCTGCCCCCGAGAATCCTCAGGCCAGTTCTTTAGGGTCAGGAAAATATAAAGTAAAGGGTAGTGAGCAAATTAATAGGTTTAAGGTCAAGTACAACATCCCACAGTATGTAGACATAGAGGATTATAACCCGGCTGTGCACCCTCGTGCCCTCGGCACCAAGGGTGCAATGCCCTTTTGTACCAAAGCCATCATAGAAGGCGGAATTAGATTCCCTTTGCCCCATCTACTTCNTTATCTCGGAGTATTTCGAAAATATCCCATCAACTGCCCCCCAGCCTTCGATCTTCTGACACCGAGGACACGCGTCGTAAGGAGACGAAGGGTTTTACAACAACCCCAACTGCTTCATCATTGCTTCTAGCCACTTTCCCCTGCTTAGGACGTCGTGTGCATTAAATACGCATTTTCGTGCTTTGCGCCCAATGATGGGATAGGTGCTATATATAAATGGGCTTCCTCTCTTCTTTTCTCATTTCATCGTTCTGAACTTTTCTTCACAGAGCCCTTGCCGGAGACTTCGCCGGAGATCCCTTTCCTTCCGTTGTCAACTGTCCAACCATTTCACCGGAGTTTTAAGGCCAGTAGACCCATCCTTGCTTCTGAAACATTCTGGAAGGAGTCGCTTCAAATTTCCCAGAAAACACTTCTTTTTACATTCTGGTGAGTCCCAGTATCTTTCCTTTCTTCGTCCTTCTGTCCCTTTTGGTTTTTCGATAACTGGAGGTGCCTCTGGTTGCCACTTAGCGACCAATCCTCGGGAAGCTTCCTTGGCGACCTTTAAGGAAAAAACATCCTCCACTTTTTCTCATTTTCTTCGAGATGTCTCGTCGTCGCCCTGCCCCCGAGAATCCTCAGGCCAGTTCTTTAGGGTCAGGAAAATATAAAGTAAAGGGTAGTGAGCAAATTAATAGGTTTAAGGTCAAGTACAACATCCCACAGTATGTAGACATAGAGGATTATAACCC